CGAGGGCGGAGGATTGAAGGCGGGGGGCAGCAGCCCTTATCCCGCCTGTGGCAGACCCAGCTTGCCGGCCCTCAAGTTCCACAACCACTTTCCGCCCGACAATCTGACTAGCCTGCACGACAAGAAGGACTCGTTGCTGATGCAGGTGCAGGAGCTGCAGGGCTCGGTGCTGCAGGGCGTGCAACAAGCGGGCCTCGCGGGCACGGTCGTCTCCGGGGTCGGAAACAGGCTTCATCTGCAGCAACAACCGCCGCATCTGCGCCCGGCCGATGCCGAGGAGAGAGTGATGCTGTACGTCCGTCAGGAATCCGAGGATGTCTACACGCCGTTGCACGTCACACCGCCGACCGTTCAGGGACTGTTGAATGCTGTAAGAAATGTCAAGGATTATTCTATCGCAGGCGTAATTTACATGTGACACCTTGTGGAATGTGCTGGCACGTTGGCTTCTGGGAGGAAAATGGCGGCGAGGGGAAGGAGCTTGGTAGATATTGACGAGGGACTTTAGAGTTAGGGTTTGGGGAGTTGGAGATTTAGGGATTTTAGAGATTTGGGAATTTAAGATTTGGGGACTGAAGATTTAGAAATTTAGGAATTTTTATAGATTTTATTAGTATATTTTTAGAAATTTTTTTTGGGAAGTTGGGGAAGCAGAGGTGGGGAATATGTGGGGAAATTGGGAAAATTGGGAATTTGGGGTTTTTTGATTTAGAGAGTTAGGAAGTTTGGGATTTTGAAATTTGGGAATTGAGAGATTTTGAAATTTGGAGGTTTGGGGATTTGGAAATTTGGAGATTTGAGGATTTGGGGATTTGGGGATTTGGTGATTTGCAGATGTGGGAATTTGGTAATTTGAGAATTTTGGAATTGGGAAATATTGGAATAGAGAATAGGAAATATTGGAATTTAGGGATTTAGGAATTTGGCAATTAGGAAGTTTGGGAACTTGTTATTATTCATTTGGAAATTTGGGGAATTTTGGGAATTTGGGTATTTGGGAATATTGGGAATATTAGGAATTTTGGGAAATTTGAGGAATTTTGGAATTTTGGGAATTTGAGAATATTGAAATTTAGGGATTTGAAGGTTTGGGGATTAATGAATTTAACAATTGGAAAATTTGGGAACTTGAAAGTTAGAAGATTTGTACATTTTGAAATTTGGAAATTTTGAAATTTGGAAATTTAGAAACTTGAGACTTTAGAAATTCAGAAATTTAAGAATCTACAAGTTTTTTTCCCTTACCGTCATCATTATCTAAAGGAAGCCTAGTCACATCCAAATGTACACACTCAATCTCGAGTCAGCCATTTTGTTTAAAATGTTGGATTGTTAAAACCCAGTTAGATTTTACTTCTACTTGTGATTGTTCAGAGTGTGTTGGAAATTGTTTGGTATCTACACAAAATACACTATTCTCTTACTATTTTATAGTAAATAATTATTTTCACTAAATATTGTTATCTATAATAGTGTTCAGTAGTAAACAATGTAACTGATCAGTAATTTAGTCTTGAAATATTATTGAAAAGTTACCATTTTGTAGCATTGAAGATTAATTCGTATTTCATAAGAAGTCCATTTTGTACTAAGAATATTATTGAAACATTTCTATAATTATTCGAATCCTAATCTTCACATTGATGTGAGAACCATTTTGAGACATTTACGTCAATAAATTTTCTCAAACTTCCCAATGTTTGATTAGTAATTGTTTACTATAATAATCAGCTATATATCGATCTATAAAAACCGCCATTTTGTATGAAGAATCCTACTAGATTAGTATCGGCCATATATCGATCGCCCATTTTATATAAAAAATCCTACCAAATTACTATCGGCCATATATCGATCGCCCATTTTGCATCAAGAATCCCACCATATTAGTATCGGCCATTTTGTATCAAGAATCTCACCAAATCACCACAGTTACATTCTCCAATTTCTAAGCTTTAAATTGATGTACATAAGTGCCATTCCACGACACTTTTATGTCATCAAATCCTCAGACTTTCTACATTTCGAAACTCACGATACGTAACAAGCTAAGATCGTATCTAAAATCAAAATGAATTCCTTAAATTTTCTTTTATTTATACACAGTACAATTTCTGACACACGTGATCATTATAAACGAACTACGAAACGGTTATTAATGATCGCGAACAATCGCAACTACATCCAACATGGAAATGCACCTGATTTACAGGGGCGGCGCAAGCGTTCACGGGGCCCGGTTCCAAACTTACGGAACCAAATATAACTTTGTCCCCAGAAAATTTTTCTATGAAACTTTCAAGAATTTAATTTTATCTGAAAATTCTGAAATTTCAGAAGTTTTGAATTTGAACGAATTAAAATTTGACGGGTGATAATTTGAAGGGCAGGAAAATTGAAAGAGTGAAATATTCGCAAAAATGAGAGACGTTGCATAAGTGAGCCACGTTAAGCCCGGGTGCGTTCGAAAGTGCGATATCGCTCGATTCCACCGTCTATATTTATACGGGGACGTTTCGAAACCTGTACGGTAACAAATCCCTGATAGAAAGCGACACGCGGAACGTTTCGACGTTCGCGACGTTAACCGGCGATATCTTGACGTGGCCAATTTATCACGTTTCTACGTGGCCGTGTTCGATTTGACGTTAGTGCCCCCGGTATGAATAATGAGTGATGCGCGAGAGTAACACGAGATATACAAGAAACACACCCATTTGTACTGGGTGTCCGGAACATCCAAATTATTTTCATTTCTATCGAAAAATTCGGAACTTGTCTATGCTTGTGTTATATATATTTATTTTATACAGATATAATAATTATTAAACTATTTGTAGCTAAATAACGAATTTAATAAAGCTTCATGGCTATAAATAATTGTTTAATAATTAATATATTTTTATATGTTACATGTTCTTTCATTTTTGCAGATATACGCTCATTTGTACAGGGTGTTTCAGTTAAACTGCTAAAAATTACGTAGAACTTATGTAGTAGTAGAAAGGAAATTATGCTATTTACTGCTTTGTAGAAATTATTCAAATAATATAAAAAAAGAGTATAATATACAGGGTGTCTCACAACTAATGTACTGAAATGATGGGATTCGAGATTCTGAACAACATTTCCCTTTGCAAAAATTCGGTGTGAAGCTTCGTTTCTGAATTATTAAGGAAAAACGCTCAGGTAGTGATGGCTTCGAACCTGCTGCGATCGTGAACAAATCCCATTTTTGCAAAGGGAAATATTCAGAATCAGCTGCCCCTCATTTCGGGGACCTACACTAATTGCGAGACACCCTGTATAAGATTTAAATAGCAAATCACATGAAGTAATGCATCACAGCAATTTACACATAATTTATAATTTTTGTCAAGTTCTAACAAGTTTGTAGAGATGAAACGCCCTGTATAAAAAATAAATATATATATTATAAAATAATTTCATAAAACCTTGTAGCAAAAGAGTTCATATAAGTCCCCGTTAGTTATTTTCCATTGATAGCAGTGAAAATAGAGATGTTCAAGATAAGACACCCTGTATATACGAACGTATATATACGCATATATAAATATACATATATTTAATATTAGCTATGCATGCGAGGGCATACCACACCATTAATTAATACCTGTTGCACCGTTCCATTACGCTGATATTAATATTAACGCGCATGCATCACTCCTCCAAAATCCTCATTAATTAATACGATACGAGTGCGATACGCACATTGATATAAATCATTAACCCCTGAGATCGCGAGAAACGATCAATGGTGTTTAAGAGGTGCCATTTAGAATATTGGATTGCTGACCAACTGTACGCAGACATGGTCCCATTGTTTGTAACGAAAAAAGTGGAAAAGAAACGTGGTCTTTTATACGGAGTTTCAAATTTCCCGGGTATTTGAATTTCGCGCTTTCGCGGTGGTTTGCAACTGAGAGAACGGTGGAAATAGACGGATTTTGTATTGCGGATGAAATGGTATCGTTCTGTACGTTTTGGAACATTTTTTAGAATTATAGAAAAATATTTAATGTGAAAATTTTCTAAATTAAGATTTGAATTTTTTAATTTCTAAGATCCCAAATTTCTAAAATTCCCCAGTTTTCAAAATTGCCAAATTCTCAAATCATGCAATTCTAAATTTTGCAAATCCTAAAATTCCCTAATTTCCAAATTTCTAAATCCCTAAATTTTCAAATTCTCAAATTCTCGAATTCTCAAATTTCTAAATTCCCATATTAAAATATAAAAATCCCAAAATTCTTTAAGTTTGAAAATTTTCAAATTCTTTAGAAACACCAAATTCCCAAAACACCAAATTTGCAAAATTTCTAATTTCCAAATTCTTAAAATCCTAAAATTTGATATAAACAACATTTCCAATTCCCAAATTCTCCTCCCTATATAAAAATCGACATAAAGCACTCAACGAGTGCTCAACAGTGCCATATATCGAGACTCCCCTAAATTACCCCTAAAATACCATCGTTTCACTTCACCAAAACGTATAGAACAATTCTAAAGAACAATTGTTCATACCCAATACAAAAATTTGTTTATTTCAACCTCGTCTTTTACCAAAAATCGTTGTTCAAATAGGGGTAACTTCTCTCTTCCCATCTCTCGGTATTTCGCCGACTTCGAGGGTCTACTCGTATAAATGTCATGCGTCGCGTTACATCGTGAAACCTCCTCGACAATCGCCTACGACGATGGTCCGCAACCACTATCAAAATTCTAATGTTCTACTTTTTTCTATTTTACAGATTGAGTCAAAGTACAAAATTGCATCCTCGAGTATTAATAACCTCTATCGCAAAAACACAAAGGGGTAAGTTTAGTAGAGTGTCATCTTTACTTGCATGCACCGCCCACACGTAGTGCATGCCATAACGGTGACATTGCCTGACTCTCTCCGCCTGGTTTGCTAATCTCTCTCTCTCTGTCTTTCTCTCTCTGTCTTTTTCTTTTTCTCTCTTTTTCTCGCTCTCTATCTGTCTCTCCCTGTTTCCGGTACCGGGCAGCAGGACCGGCGCTAGTTGGATGTGGCTCACACGACTGAGACTCTACTGTGTTAATCGAGGTTCATGGTCATTTCATTCTTAACTCTCATATCTTCCTACATTTTTTCTTAGTCCTATGTTCTTTTAATTTTCGAACTCCTTTTCCAGATTCTAGTTAATTAATTTCGAAATTTTCAAATTTTTATGTTGGAAACTTTCAAATTTCAAATTGGCAAACCTCAAAATTCCGAATTTTCAAGATTCAAAATTATAAATTTTTAAGTCCCAAAATTCTGAACTTCAAAATCCCTATACCTTCTCAAATATCCCTAGATTTCCAAGATTTCATAAGTTCTCAAGCATAAAAATGAATCCCAAATTCATAGACTTGAAAATTCCTAAATTCCCTAAATACTTATTCCCCAGATCTGGAAATCCTACTGTCTAAATTCCCTAGAATCCCTATTCTAATTTTCCTAGAATCCTAACCTTAAAAATTACTAAGTCCAAGGTTTCTATATTAAAAAATCCCAAGATTCTCAAATATCCAAATTACCTAAATTTTAAAATAAAAGATCCCTAGATTCCCAAATCCCTAAATCACCTAAATTTCAAAATTAAAAAATCCCCAAGTCACCTAAATTTCAAAATTAAAAAATCCCCAAATCACCTAAATTTCAAAATTAAAAAAATCCCCAAATCACCTAAATTTTAAAATTAAAAAATCCCTAAATTCTCAAATCCCCAAATCACCTAAATTTCAAAATTAAAAAATCCCCAAATTACCTAAATTTCAAAATTAAAAAATCCCTAAATTCTTAAATCCCCAAATCACCTAAATCTCAACCTACAAAAATCCCTAAATTTCCAATCCTCAAATCACCTAAATCCCAACCCATAAAAATCCCTAAATTCCCAAATCCCAAATCACCTAAATTTCAACCCATAAAAATCCCTAAATTCCAAATCCCCTAAACTAAAAAATTCCCTAGTTCTCCCTCCACTCTTCCTCCCTCTACACACAAACACTCTATTCTCTTTAATCTCTCTGCCAGCTTTCTTCCACTTGTTCTTCATTCTTCTTTTTAATCTCCCCATAGTATTCGTCGCAAGCAACAGAAGGATGTCGTTGGCCACGCTCATTCAACCAAGCTTCCACTAATCAACTAATCTCTCTCTCCTCGGTTTCTATTTTTCTTCTACCATGAATGCTCCTCGCATGACTCTCCCTCTGCTTACTTCGCTTCTTTGCATGTTTCTAGGATCAGCGCATGTTTCTTGCCTCTCAAACGCATCACGCACTTCATCCGCATGGATACCTGTGTTTTTTGTGTACTCCTCTATATACGTTCTTGTTGTTCGTGTCTTTTTCATCGTGCACGACGGAATTCCTGTTCGTGTTCATACTTTGATTCGTCGGTTGTTTAGGAACTTATTTAGGACTGATTTTGTGGGTTAAACTTATTCATTTGTTGATCGGACACAAATTTTTAATGGACTACAAAAATATCTGAAGATAGTGTACAGAAAATGAAAAGAAAAATGAATTAAAAATTTTAATTTAGTGCAATTTAACTGTTACTATAATTTAATTATCGTATTTAATTATTACTATGATTTAACTATTACTATAATTCAATTATAGTATTTAATTATTACTATAATTTAATTATAGTGCCAGACAAAGGATTTATGTGTGTCTCAAATATTTGCTCATAATGCAACAATTCTATATTTTCATACAACACAATGATTTAACATACTAAAATATTAAAGAAATATTCAAGAAAATAAATCCCCAGATTATTAGATCTCTCGAGTCCCTTTATCCTTACAAGTTACACTAAAAATATCCCTAAATCAAATCCATCAAAAAGGTCCACTGGTTTCTATATTCTTAGTTCTCAAACTTACCTAACTCCAATATATCCGATTTAAAAAATCCCTACTTACATCACAACCCCAGCATAACCCCATCTATTTACTCCAAATATCCCTAGCACCCCCAATCTCTGAGTAGCAAAATCTTTTCTTTCTTCACAAACCGAGAGATTTCAAAGTCCACCGAAAGTATACACCGTAAAGTTTGTACAGAAATGTCCACGCAGGGTATCGCCCGTCCCAACAGACACTTAACGAGCGTCCATTTTCCTATGTTACAGAATTACAGCGAAAATTGACGACGACATGATCCGATACTACGTGGACGAGGATCTGTTTCTGTTGGAGGTGACCCACTCCAGAATGAACCCGGACCCGAGTAACGAGCGCAACAATCCCGGCTCGCCCGGGGATCCCGGAGATCCAGGAGATCCCCCAGCGACCGCGGGCTACGACGTCACCCTGATCGAGCTGCCCTCGACGCCGGCCCACGTCGCCCATTCGCCCCTAACGAACTCGTCGCACGCTCACGCGCACGTTCACGAGAGCGGCAACACGTGAAGTGATCACACGCACAGAGACAAAGAAAGTATAATATGTAGCTTTCGTTTCGTGTAAATAAGTCTGAGGAAGAACCGTCGCGAACGATTGAACGGTGCAGTATGAAGTAAGAGGAACTGCAGTAGGAGCCGAAGAGGACGTTCGTTTTATCGCGACAGTTCGAAGAAGAGGAGCTTCAAGAGGATCATGGAGGCCCGCTATACTTGGGACCGCGCGTGACTGAGAAGAACTGTTCGTACAACATAAGAAGTCAAAGCGATTGTTAGTTGATAGTGTGATCTTGTGGGTCGTTTTCGAGGAAACTTAATATTAAATAGAGAGATACAGGCGGTTCAGTATTGTTGAAATTTTTCGGAAGAGTCGCGTTATATTGCAGGGTTGAAATGTTTTTGGTAGAATTAGGTTAATTTTTAGATTATGGGGATGTAGGAAAAGGGAGGTCACTAGTGAGAGATGCAATATAACGAGAGTCTACTGTTTTTTTATTGGGACTGTTTTTGGTAGCTATTTGAGGTGATGTATATGTTATAATTGTGTTTGAGATTGTTTGAAAATGTTTTGTTAGAAGAATAGATTTGTTAGAGCTTCTTTAGGGGAAATGGCTATATAGGGAGAGACTATCGTTTGATATAAAAATGTAGGGTTATCATAGCTGGATTCTGTAATTTTTGTTGGAACTGTAATGTCAGGAAATTTTGAAATGATTGAAAATTTGTATTTTGAAACTAATCCAATTACAAGATTGGAAATATTGTAATTTGAGAATTTTTTAGTTTGGAAATTAGGGAATTTGGGGAATTTTTAATTTGGGAATTGGAGAATTTGGGAAGTCAGTAGTTTGGAGACTGTGGAAGTAGGAAATTTGGTAATTTTCAAACTAGGAAATTTAGTAACTTGGACACTGGTACATTTGAAAATTTAATAATTTGGAAACTAGAAAATTGGAAAATTTAATAATTTGGAAACTAGAAAATTGGAAAATTTAATAATTTGGAAATTTGCAAACTTAGTATTTTGGAAACTTGAGAATTTAGAAATTTGGTACTTTAGAAACTAGGATATTTGTAATTTGGAAACTGGAAAATTGGAAAATTCAATAATTTGGAAGCTGGAAAATTTGCAAACTTAATTGGAAAATTGGAAAACTGAAAAATTGGAAAATTGGAAAATTTTAAAATTGGAAAATTTTAAAATTGGAAAATTGGAAAATTTAGAAACTAAGAGAGTTGGAAATCCACTAACTTGGAAACTAGAAAACTTAGAAATTTATTAATTTAAAAACCAGAAAATTTAGACCCTGACAATCTAGAAATTTTTATACTTATATCACAATTGATAACTCCCTAGTGCCATTTCCCCTAGAAAAACACTCTAAACTCTCCTTCAACTATCACTATATTATTATTTCCAATTTACCACAAACATTGCTCCACAAATTTAAAAAAATGAATGACCTAAAACCCAGCAATTTTATACCAAAAGCAATCTTCACATTTAACAAAATTATTCATATAAAAATCAAATCCTCAATGAAGAAATATAAAATAATTGAACAGCCTGTATAAGATCCTCGACTCGAACCACAAGATGGCGAAGAAGTATATCCGTAGCCGTGCAAGGCGACTCGTTATTTTATATATTTGTTTGTTTTCACTTGTGAACAATTTATATCGATGGTTGTTAGCTTATAGAGTAACGTGGCGTAGTTGAAACGCGAACGCGTTCCATTATAAATCAATCAAAATTGATTTAAGGACCCCCCGTTCCCCTCCAGCCCCTTTTAAATGTTAAGTTATACGTATGACGTATAGATGTATATGAAGAAAATTGTATTTTATCGGTTTAGAGTTTAAATTCTATTAGGCGTTTAACCCTCGGGCGACAATTAAATTCGCGACGACTAAACGTAGACGTAGTGAACATGCAATGTAAAACACATAGGGAACACTAGGTGAAACTTAGGTCAGATATATCTAATATCTATTTAGATATGAATTGTATATCTAATATATGTTTAGATATATCTATCAGAATATTCGAAGTAGAAAATTTAGTTTGATAGCTGCGAGGGTTAAGGACTCGGTCTGTTGCCGATGTTAATTACGCAAGCTTTTATTTTGTACCAAGACTAGAACTCGCCATTCCAAGATAGACGGGTGCCATCAATTCATAGTGATCACGCTCATACACTTCTGTTCATCAGGTTCTGATTTCAAGGACATCAAATATGGCCGGTCAGCGTGAAACGCTTTCGGTCTCTCGTTATTTATACCGTTCTGAATAATCCGCTCTACTGTTAGACTTCGCCGACATTCCAGATGCTGCGCCCAGGATTCTTCTGATATTATTACCAAGAGCAAGTATTACTCGATCAAATACGTAATTAACGTGGAGGTGGACACATTCGTGTATAAACTTGTAGAGGTTTTTTAGTAAGTCTAGAAATTTCGATGGAATCATTGCGATCAGCAATATTTAGGGTAGATATACGACATCCTTTGGGGACGAAATTTTCAACCGGGTAGTTTAGAATGATGGTCATGACGTGTATATACGTGTATATACGTTGACTATTCGCACTTGTCAGACTTGCAATTGTATATATAGTCCTCGGAGGATTAACCCCGTGAGACCCGAGTTTATCTTGATTATGGCGGAAACGGGAATCTGTGTAACGTCATCGTAGCTTCCGGACGGATATAAATAGCCTGCGGTTTTATTTTTAAGGTTGAATAATGTTGTGCCACTGGTGAAAGCGAGCCGTTCGTCGTTTATGAATATAGTGATTTTGTATCGCTCGCGTATACATATTTGTACATGTACGGTTGTGTGCAAGGATTTTGTCGATTGGAGGAAAATATGGGGCGAGGATTAATCTATTGACCATATTGTTAAATGAAAAATTAAGAGCATAGTTTAGATTCAAGGTTTTAATTCAACATTTCTTTAAACTCTGTAGGATCTCAGAAATTCCCTAGATTCCAACATCTAGAATCTTTCTAGGATCTTTTACATTATTATTTCTCTAGAATTTAATTTAGTTTTCTTAGAATTTCTGCAAGCTCGTTCTAAGCTCTTGAGGTTTCTTTGGGTTCTTGAAATCTTCCTAGGAATTCTATTTAAATTTTTACAATTTGCTTCTTAAATTCTAGCTATGATTTGCTGGGAAATTCCCTAGATTTTCTTTAGTTAAATTCTATCTATGATTTCCTTGAAATTTCTCTAGATTTTCTTCAGTCAAATTTTACTTATGGTTTTCTTGCAATTTCCCTAGATTTTCTTTAGTTTTCCTTATTTCTCCTTCCCGAAGTCCATTTTAAAATCCCTAGAATTTACCTGGGACCTATACAAAATTACCAGAAAATTCCCCTAGGGACCTTTCTGAAACCTACACTGAAACTTCAATTTCTTCCATTTCTATTCTTGTTAGGATTTGCCCAGAATATTAGTCTCACAGATTTCCTTAAAATCCCTATAAATCCTTAATATCCCTAGGATATCCCCCCCAAAAATTCCCTAAATTTCCCTCTCACTCAGATTTCCCTGAATTCTACTAAAAAACACAGTAAGTTCTTTTTACAATCTCAGAAGAGTTTTTTAGATTCTTTCAAGTTCCCCCAATATTTCCCTAGAACTATTAGAAATTGTTCTTTTGGAAATTTGTTAGGATTCTCCTCCTCTTATATTTGTCTTTATTCGAAAGTCTAAGTTGCACTCGACTGTACACACTCACATACACACATCGTGCCTCCACAAGAAGCTAAATTTTACAAATAATGTATTCTGGAGAACCCTTCTTCTATATGAAAATGGCGATATAAAGAGAGAACCCTATATCAATTTCTATAATAAGACAAAATTCATGAATATACTTTATATATGTATAAGAATGAATTATGTATTTAGTATTGAAGAAGATTGTCCTGTTTATAAACTGTTATTCATGCAGTTGGCATGTGAATAGATAGAGTGCACATACTTCACAGCTGTCAACTTGTCAGACGTACACATTTCACTACTTAAAGTAACCCAAGTCACCACAGACGTCTACATAAGTCTCAAGTCTATAAATCTACACAGTCTACGTAAAATATTTTCATATTAAACTCGAGTGAAAGTTCACATGCAAATGGCACTTTCAACGTCGCCATTTTCCTCTTCAGAAGAAAACGTCGCCATTTGCCTTAGAAGAAAACGTGCTCTCCAGTGTACTACAAAAATAGAACATACACTTAATTAACTAAATGTTAATTTAGTATGTAATCTTGAAATATAATAAATAATTTGCTGAATTATTCTTGTGGAGAAGCGAACACACGTCCATCAATTATCATGGTTAGTTAACGTCTAGATTCGACTAGGACCCATCGCGACTATTGTTATCCACTCACACGTATACACATATATACCACGACACCGATATCAAAGCAAGGATCAAAATACGCTTGTAAAATGCATATTATAATGAGTACTATATTTTGTTACATCAATTGCAAGACAACATATAGTTTGATATTACTAATTATATATTTGATTCTATCGACTAGCACGTATATTATTAATATTATTATTTTTATACAAGGGATGAGTGTTTCCATGGTGCGAACAGAGAGAATGAACGAGAATGAATGAAAAAGTACGAGGTATTTTACAAATACGAAGATTGTTAGCTCCATGACATTTTTATTCGTAATATCTTTCCCCGTTTTTATTACCACCCCATCGACCGCCCAAAAAATCATTGCAGACTCGTTTCAACTTTTATTGCTATCCCTTTATAATCCTTACATTTATATTATTAATTAACGTTATGTATCAAAGGCTTTTCAGGAGAAGACCTCGATCGCGAACCCAGTGAAACAGAGAAGAGACGAAGAAAGGAGGAACACCGTTTGCGTTTGTTCTTTCTTTCTTCCTTTTTCTCTCGTATTTTTTTTTTTTTTTTTCTTCGTCCAAGAGTAGTTTTTAAACAGAGAAGCTGACTCGTGGCCTTCTCCCGATCGTCGGCCATCTCGATATCGTACTTAAAACGACGATGCGAAACGAGCCCAAGGGCTTCGTTCTTTTTTATAGATGTTGTTAGAAGCGTATCCGTGTTAAGAGAAGAAAAGATAGTGTGTAAACGGCCGAGTTTAGGCCGTGCGTTTACTGTTTTGTTAAGAGGAAGAAGATGAGTTGCGGAACAGAAGTGATGCGAGAATATCGAATATAATACCGTTTTCGCGTTGTCTTGCCATCGTGAGATTGTGCCAGAGGTGATATTATATTACGCTGTTTATTGCAAACAATAAATATTATATTAGTACGTTTTATAAATTGCGCGTTTGTTCTTCGTTACCCTATCCCTTTTAGAAATTCAAATTCAGTTTCACTATTTTTGTCGATCGTGTTGGTAAATATTTATTATTTAGAAATTAGGAAATTATTCGCATTTTTAAGTATTAATCAAATTTCTAAATTTACAAAATTATAAATGTCTATGTTTCTAATTTTCTAAATTGCTAAATTTCTAAATTTCTACATTTCTAAATTTTACATTTCCAAATTTTCAAAATTCCAAAATTTTTAATATTTTTCAAATTCCCCAATTCCCCTATTCTGGAATTTCCCAATTCTCAAACTCCCCAATTCCCAAATTCCCCAATTCCCTAATTCCCCAAATTCTCAAATTCCCCAATTCCCAAATTCCCCAAATTCTCAAGCTCCTCAATTCCCAAATTCCCTAAATTCTCAAACTCCCCAATTCCCAAATTCCCCAAATTCTCAAGCTCCTCAATTCCCAAATTCCCAAAATTCTCAAGCTCCTCAATTCCCAAATTCCCAAAATTCTCAAGCTCCTCAATTCCCAAATTCCCAAAATTCTCAAGCTCCTCAATTCCCAAATTCCCAAAATTCTCAAGCTCCTCAATTCCCAAATTCCCAAAAT